ATATATATAATTTTAATATATATATTTTTTTTTGAACTAAAATAAGAAAAAGAAAATCCAACAAAGAGTTGTTGGTATTCAATTTCTTTACTTAACAAATGATTTAAAATATATTTATTTATATATTGACAATTGTGAATTTCACAAGTTAATATATCAGCAACAGAACCTCAAAGATTATCACAAGGCATTTGACTAATTGCCCAATCGATTCTCCCGTGGCGCATAGCTGGTGATCCGTCAGCTACCTGCCGTCCTGCCGTCCAATCCTATATGATAAGTACGGTGCACTATAAATCCCCTCGCCTTATCAATTTCCCGTTGACAATTTGTCAAACATTACCTCCGTCATCCTATTCATTGTAATTTCCTTCCACTATTAGCCCGCTTTCCAACCTCCAACTTTTGTCAACGCTTCCTACCACAAATATCATGTAGCATTATATAAACCCCATTCTCTGCCTCTCAGAAGAGGCACACAAATCTGGCAATGAAGCTTGTTTGGTGCCCGGAGATGGCTTTTAAGGCCTATATAGATACGGTGAAGGCGGCCCAAAGGAGGGAGGAAAAGGAAGAGGGCGCCGCGGCGGAGCTCGTGGCGGCGATGGCCGGCGGGTGGAACGCGAAGGTTATTGTCGAGGCGTGGGAGAGAGGCAGCGGAGCTACGACAAGCGCCGGCTTATCGGAAGCAGCGCGGCATACCTGCGGGCGGCATGTGTGCGTTCTACCGGATGAGAGTGCTGCAGAGGAGTATGCGACGGTGGTGAGATCGAAGGCGGTGGAGGTGATGGTCGGGGAGGCGGAGGAGGTGATGCGGGAGTTGGAAGGGGTGGATTTGGTGGTGGTGGATTGGAGGCGGAGGGATGCGGGGAGGATATTGAGGGAGGTGAGGATGGGAGTGAGGGGGATGGTGGTGGTTTGGCGGCATGTTGGTAGCGGGAAGGGCAGGCCGGAGGTGGCGGTGGTGGGTTTGGGAGGAAGGAGGGTAGTGAGGTCTGCGTATGTGCCAGTGGAAAGTGGGGTGCTGATTCTGCATGTTGCGGTGGGGAAAGGGCAGAGCATTCCGGGAGGAGATGGTCGGAAGTGGATTCGACACGTGGATAGGAAGACGGGGGAGGAGCATGTTTTTCGGAGATGTGGGTGATTGTGGATCAAGTAATAGCAGTGTGTTTGAGTTTTTTGAAGAAATGTTTTTTGTTCTCTTCTTCATTAAGTTTGTAAATAGTTAAAAAGGGTTTTGTATGTGTGGTTTGAATTATAATTATGAAGGTAAATTGTAGGTGTTATTGCTAGAGTTGGCTATAGGAATAATGGGTGTTTGTGATGTAAATGTTAGCTTGTGAGAAATGAAAATGGACTCTTATAGCTTTTGTAGCAAGTTTATAGTTCCCTTGACTATGATTTATCTAGCCTGAATATGTTTATGCATGCTTGTTTTTGGGACAAATTTGTGCTGACATATTAAAATTAAAAATACAATTGTGGATTAAAAAAACATTCGGCACTAATATAGTATCTTATATGCATGTTCTATGCAAAAAAAAAAGATCATTTTGCAAACTCAAAAAATTTTATTGGATTCAAATCACCAGAGAGTTTAATTACCGGATATGAAAGGATTAGTTATAGAGTAGAAGATTGAAATGTGAAGGTGAAAGTATTGTGCAAGTTTAAAATCATGTGACCTATCATAAAATTGTAAAAGTGTTCATACCAAAGTTTCTAGCTTTCTATGAATGATTAATGGAAAAAACAATATGAAGTATTTAGTGTTTTACCAATAAAATAAGTTTTGTTGCATCAAAAGTTTGAATTTTTTTTTTTAATTCTTAGAAAGACAAGGGTGGTGCCCAACCAATATTATGCATTATTAATAAATTTTATGTATAGTAACTATTACTAGATGTAAAGTAAGAAAAAGATAACATTAAAAAGTCAATGAAAAGATACTGAATTACCAAAAAAATAATGAGTCAGAGACCAACAAACTTATTTTATTTCTATGTATAATGTGGTGTGTGTTTGAAGAATATCAAACATGTTAATCATATTAGGATATAGAGATCTGTATTGTCCGTGAGTACATATAACTTGGTGAGCCAATATTGTAGGAAGAATACTATAATGAGAGAGAGATGAATGAGATTTTTTGAGAGAACCTTGGCGAAAATATTAATTTTTGGAGAAAAGAAGTCCCTCACAAGAGAAAACTCTCAGGAAAACAATTTAAAGCCCTTCAGAAAAGGAAGAAGAGAGCTGAAGCTGAAGGGGGAGAACCTATCATTTCTCTTTCCTTTTGTTGCCCTTCTTATACATCAGATAGAAGCAAAATAAAATTGTCTATAAATAAGGCATCAAAGGCTATATTGCTAACTTGTCTCTGACTAGTATCATGCTTATGAGACATTGTAGGCTAATGTCAGATATTGTTGGTACAATGACTATTCCAGATGTCTGAACTATGACAATGAATCCCAAAATCAAACTTGTTTTTGGGACAAATTTGTGCTGACATATTAAATTTAAAAATATAATCGTGGATAAAAAAAACATTCGACACTAATATAGAATCTTATATGCATGTTCTATGCAAAAAAAAAAGATCATTTTGCAAACTCAAAAAATTTTATTGGATTCAAATCACCAGAGAGTTTAATTAACGGATATGAAAGGTTTAGTTATAGAGTTGAAGATTGAAATGTGAAGGTGAAAGTATTGTGCAAGTTTAAAATCATGTGACCTATCATAAAATTGTAAAAGTGTTCATACCAAAGTTTCTAGCTTTCTATGAATGATTAATGGAAAAAACAATATGAAGTATTTAGTGTTTTACCAATAAAATAAGTTTTGTTGCATCAAAAGTTTGAATTTTTTTTTTTAATTCTTAGAAAGACAAGGGTGGTGCCCAACCAATATTATGCATTATTAATAAATTTTATGTATAGTAACTATTACTAGATGTAAAGTAAGAAAAAGATAACATTAAAAAGTCAATGAAAAGATACTGAATTACCAAAAAAATAATGAGTCAGAGACCAACAAACTTATTTTATTTCTATGTATAATGTGGTGTGTGTTTGAAGAATATCAAACATGTTAATCATATTAGGATATAGAGATCTGTATTGTCCGTGAGTACATATAACTTGGTGAGCCAATATTGTAGGAAGAATACTATAATGATCTGTATTGTCCGTGAGTACATATAACTTGGTGACGAGCCAATATTGTAGGAAGAATACTATAAGGAGAGAGAGATGAATGAGATTTTTTGAGAGAACCTTGGCGAAAATATTAATTTTTGGAGAAAAGAAGTCCCTCACAAGAGAAAACTCTCAGGAAAACAATTTAAAGCCCTTCAGAAAAGGAAGAAGAGAGCTGAAGCTGAAGGGGGAGAACCTATCATTTCTCTTTCCTTTTGTTGCCCTTCTTATACATCAGATAGAAGCAAAATAAAATTGTCTATAAATAAGGCATCAAAGGCTATATTGCTAACTTGTCTCTGACTAGTATCATGCTTATGAGGCATTGTAGGCTAATGTCAGATATTGTTGGTGCAATGACTATTCCAGATGTCTGAACTATGAGAATGAATCCCAAAATCAAGCAACGCCTTTAAATAAGAGATTAATGTATGTCCTAGTCGGTCATGATGATTTTCTCAAATTACTACCTTCATAGGGATATGTTTAAGTTATCCTCTTGAGGTAGATAACAATATATAAGATGAATTAGCTTCTTTGGCAAACGAACTTGATTTTAACCATTTCGGTAAGTATACTCAATTCAATTACATCGGCAGGTGGGCTCGATTTAACCACATCGTTATGTTAGCTCGATTCGACCACTTCGGCAGGTGGGTCCCATTCTTCAAAAAAAAATCAATTAAAATTTTTTGTACTCATATTTATTTGTACAAAATATAACCATCAAAAAAGCAAAATGATTCATGATGAAAGCTTATCCAAGCATAGTAAGCAAAACACTAAAGCCTAATACTGTAGATGTAGGCCGACTTGGGCTAAACTAAGTGAAATAAATAAATAAATAAAAACAATTGTTTTGTCCTTAAACTATGTATGTATCTACCTTAGAAGAACAGCGTGGTAACTTGTAAGCTTTCAATTTGACTCAATGGACATAAAATTTACCTTTTAATTATTATGTATTAATATGCAAACATAATTAGTCATTAGATTACTTTCTTCAAACTACTGCCCGACTTCTATGATTCAAAATTACTGTATTTACTTCATCAGACTAACAATATGCTGCATGAAAATAAGGAAATAAGCAAATAAATACAAAATTAATAAGAAAACGAAAAAAAGATGAATGGAAAAATGATTTTATTTTTTAGATGTATTTTATTTACATAGTTTAATAATCTGAAATTGACTTAAAAACAATTTATGCTATCTTAACTTGAGCTAGGCTTTATTTTGACTAACTTATTCTCGTGCTTAGTGCAAATTAATTTGTATTTGTTCTTCAAAAAAAAAAAAAAAAAAAAAAAATCAATTTTTACCTTTCAAAATACACTCTATGTGATGTACGTCCGATTAAAATTTGTTAATTTTTTTAATTAAAAAATAGCCTTATATCTAAATTCTCCCACTTGATAGATAATCTGATTTGATAAATGCTACATGTGAAAAAATTTACGGCAATAAATTAATAGTTTAACATCTTAGTGTTGCATGACTGTCCAATACACGCAGATATAAAAAAAATCAAATGCGAAGTCACTAGTACTTTTACATGAAAAATAATGAAAATGAAACAAATCATAAGGCCCGTCATAGCTAAAATAACCCACTTTATAGTTTTAGTTATAGAGTGACTTACTTCTATCTGAGTGAAGAATATAGGATTACATTGTAAAAATCTTGAATACTCGCGTGAGAATAATGATTGGGCCACAAAAGCCACCCGCTCAATCAACTAGCTTTTTTTGTGTGCATGCCGTCCAATTTAACTTGTTAGTTGAGAGTTTAAGTTGTCAACCAAGTGATGTCAGGTACAAGACTTGTATGTATGACGCGCGTGTATTTGCAAATTCGCCAAATTGTTCAAAAGGTTTCTATTGAATTGGAAAAATTGATGAACCTCACAATGATAGATGCTGACTAATGGTGTAAATGAGCCTAGCTGACTTGAGTTGAACTCGTTCATGGCTAATGCAGGCTATTGGTTTATGTGAGCCGACCTGAGTCGAGCTTATCGAGCTATGAGTTTGAGATTCTAGGCTCGGGTCTTTGACTCGCTAGCTGCCCCAACTTGTAGGATCCCAATCATCTTGATGTCTTCTCTAGTGAAATGCCATATCGCTTAGCCTTCCCTCTTGCCTTCAATCGCCCTGATGGCTTCTCCGCTGACCTCCCATAACAATTTTATTTGATCTCATCCTACTTTTACTATCGTAAGCAAAATTCAAGCTTCATTTGCGCTCAACTCGAGCTTGAACTCAGCTCGAGCTGATATCTTGACAAATGGATAAGATCAGCATGATTAGTACAACAATAGAAATACTTTTATTTTTGGTTAAAGAGTCAAAAATGAGCTATGATCCAAGTGGGCGTTATTATAAATATATAAATGAGCTATAAAGCTTATAATATACATAGTCAGAAAAGAATGTAGCTACGCCCATTATGATAAAGCAGCAGCACTAGCCAGTAATGGAAAGTTTGGGATCCGTCACTTTTCACTAAGTTTACCTTCATATCATTCAAAAATTTTCACTTTATTTCAACGTGCCACGTATTAGTCAATCTTTTTATATTTTAATAATTCAAAATAATTCTAATTTTATTTAGCTGCGGTTTTTTTTTTTCAAAAATATATTTTATAATTGTAATATGTATAAAAAAATTAATATCTTATCTTTATTAAGAGAAAAAAAGATCTGTAATATTCATTGCCTCCATAATTTAACCCTTTTTTTTTCTAATTCGCTCCAATTAAATGATTAATTAATTAAAATCTTAAATATTATTATTGACTTTTGAGGAAAAATTATCCTCCGGCTTCATCATGATCCGGTTGCCGTGCATCCATTGTTTTTCTACACCTGGTGGAGAATATTAGGTCTGTTTCCCTTTGGATATAGCCTTCCATCCGCAGAGCATTATTCTAAAGTGATGTCATTGTTGCGTTCATCTCTAAACCATGAAGTACTGAGAGATTAACCGCATTTAATGTTAAAAAATATATATTTATTAAATAAAAAGTGTAAAAGCTAGGTTATGGGAGTGATGCTCAAATGCCAAAGCAAATTACATCAACTTCAAAGTTTTATTATCAATAATGATAAGTTTATGAAGTTCACTTTTTAAGTTTAAATATC